TGATTTATAGTGCAGCTACTCCAAACCTGAAGAAATGGAGAGATGAGGAATTCTTCAGAGGGTGTAGTTTGAGGTGTTAGAGAATAGGGATTAAGTATTTTTAAAATGATAGTATAAACAACTGGTTCTTGAAGAGATCTTATATGGTTAAATCTTCCTCCTTAACTGCTGCATTACAGATGAGAGCTAATGTTTATCCACCTAGGGACATCAGCAAGAGGGAGAGAAGAAGTTAGTGTTATGTGTACATGGGGTGGAAAGGTGAGGGAGAGAGTTCCACATATATTTGGGCAATATTATAAAATGAAAGATGTGTGGATTAAAAGACATAATAGGGTAACTCTGCTGTAACTGATAAAGTTAGTAACCTGGGGTGGAAGACATTTTAGGTGGAAGACAGTGAGCGGAATTTGCAGGAGCCAGATATGGTTTTCTGCAATGGGTGATACTGCAGTAGTTTCTGATCTCACTGTTCAGTGGCAGGATAATTCTGACAGTTTGCAAAGGGCCCACAGGGAGATGGTTGCTTATTACTCCGAGTTGCAGGAAGATATCAAAAGGCTATCTGGGAGTATAAATGTCCACTTCTTTGGTCTCATTATCAGGGCTTTTAGCAAATGGAGTAAAGGTAAAACTCCTGGGAACAGAGGGAGGTAAAGATTTTAAAGAAAATCTTTTCAGGCTCATGCTATGTGCCACCACTGACATGTAGGTTGTGTTCAGTGATGAACAGTGATCCCGCTGTTCCATTCTTTGCATCCTATCTATTTTTTCAATTAATTTTAATCACAGTGGATTATTGGTTACTAGTTCCTTTGTATCCGCTGGCTACTAATTCACCTGCCCCTTTTATGCAGTTGTAATTAATCAATGAATATTTATTAATTATGATTAAATCCTATTTTAAGTTCTTTTGGTTTTACTGCACATAGATGCAGACTGGGCATGTATACTAACCAGGAAAAGGCAGATAGACTTGGCTGTATAAATAATAGGAGAACATATGTATTTGAAATGATTATAGGTTTCTGAACCCAGTGAACAGAACAGGCATTTATTTGCCAGTGAATAGGCAAACAAATGCAGAGTAGTGATATGACATGTGGAATTGCAACTATTCTTAAGCAGGAGAGGTTTATTAAACAAACAACCACCACCACCACAACAACAACAACCAAAAACTACCACTACAGCCACAAACTAGCATACTTCCACATTGCTTGAATTCCAGCTTTCCCTTTTTTATGTGCCAGGAACCGCACCATGCCTCGAATTCTAAGTGGCACACAGAGACATCTGGTGGCTAGATGCTATATTACAAGTAAACATATATCATTGCTGACCAAATTCTTCTCCCCAAAATGCACAGCTCATGTTGACAATTAATTCTAAATTGTATACAAAAGGTGTCCAGCCATTATTCCAAAGGGAAGAACTGAAATGTTTTGGGGGCATTTACAAGAAGCTAGCAGCTTAATAGAGTTTATTCTTTAAGCACCTTTATTCCCTGTGATGATAGCTAAGATGTTAGTATGTCACCAAATGCTTTCCATCTTTACACTTTGGAGAACTGTGTCTGCTGCAAGTTGTCAGAAACATTAAGTTAATGTGTTTGAGAGAGAAGGAAAGGGCAAACATTTGACTCTACAACTGTGACCCATGTGAAAAATCCCTGCTGGTTTCAGTATTCTTCAGTGGGAATTCTCACACGTAAGAATTACTCAAATGTGAATAAGGGGTGCACATGGGCCCAGAGAGTGATAGAAAGATTCCAGCTTCTGCCACTTATGTCTCACAGATCGTTCTGTTGCCCTTTTGAGTGCATAAAAACACCAAGTATGCACAGGAACAGACCCCTGGCTCACTCAAAGGCTGCTGCTCTTGCTCCCACTGAATCCCACATATGATGTGTCATAGTCAGTGCTTCATTTTTAATGAAAGAGGAGCTGAGGCTCAAGCAATGTTTTTACTTTAATAACAGATGCCGCAAGCCCAGAGGTTCTGGGGCTCAGCCCAAGGAAGTTGCGGCACAAATTAAGCTCTGGTCATCACCGTGAAGGGATGTGGAAGAAATGCATCCAGCACATTCCAATGCAGGACCAAGGGGGCCCAGGAGAGAGATATTTAAGCACAAAAGGGGAAACTGCAGATTCCAGAAATGCAGCAGAGGAATATTCTAATTATCAGACCCTCATGAGGCAGAAGCCATGTGTAAGAAGAGAGCAGCAATGAGCGATCTGTTCATGTTATGCATTCCCTCCTACCGGCAAGCATTGTGCCTCATGGCTGCACAATCTAGGAGAAAATTATGACAATAGGACAGTAGATCCATTGGCAGTAGGGTGCAGTCAGATGACTAACAGAGACAATGTGCACTGCAATACCCGGGTGTATGAGCATATTGTGAGGAGTATTGAGGAAGCCATTGCTGAACCAGATGGCGAAGTTAGAGCCACTACAGAATAACTCACTGGACAGACACACCATTCATAGCTAGTGCTGGGATCACAGTATCATGATCTTGTGCATCAATCCTGAAACATAAATTCAGCAATATTGCTAGATAATAGAAACATACAGAAGGCCACAAGTTTTCCACAACACCATCCTGAAAAGACAGTGAGCTGAGGTCCTGCAAAACCAGCAAAGTTAGATGTCTAACTTTACAGAAGGCTGGACCAGGTCCGCTCTTTACAGTAGACTGTACACATGGTCAGAAAGAGAATTTAAAGCACAATCCATTTGTCCTCAATATCCCTTTATTGTCTTGAATCGTGCTCACATGATACCATACTTTGCATACCACCTGCTCTTTTCCAATGTAGTGTCACACAATGATGGAGTCCTATATGGTGTAGTCAAATAGACTAAACATAGGCCTAAAATCCAGAATATTTCAAATTCTAATCCTGGATTTAGCAGTGACTTTCTCCATTACCTTAGGTGAGTCACTTAACATCTGTGCCTCAGTCTCCCCATCTGTAAAATGGGAATAATAATACTTGCCATTAAAATTAAAATTAAAATTTGCAGATTACTTAGAAGATTTAAAAGTTTGCTATTCGTACTAAGTGTTGTCATTATCTGTCTCTTCTTGACTTCCTCATTGCTCATGTGCTTTAAGACTGTATTGTCCAATTCTGTCAAGGAACCCCATAAAAGTTCCCCAAAAAGGATAGTTTGTGAAAATAAATTATAAAGATCCAAAGAGCCATAAATATTAAAGGTATTGAATAACAAATCCCAGCACTTTAATCACAGTACAACAATTGATACTTTAAAAAAAATCAGACCTTTTAAATCTCTTTTTAAAATCCTCATCCTTAATAAGGGATAATACTGGATTGAAGTGGGCCAAAGAGATTTATTGATACAAATGCAGACACATCAGTGCAAATCAGGACAGTGCAGAAGTATGCCACTGCTGGCTTATGTTCTCTTCCTGCAAAAGGACAGGGATAAATGAACGAGTGTCTGAATGAATGACTGAATAGATAAATGAAAGAATGAATGCAGAATCAAATACCACATTAAAATACATTGCCTGAGTGTTGGACTGGCATAGCAAAGGAACTAACTCTTCAGAACCTTGTTATAAAAAATAGTCAACAATGTTCCCATTTTTAATATAAAATTAAAATCTGCTTTTCCCAATGCCTCTGGGGCTGTGTCTAGACTGGCAAGTTTTTCCAGAAAATCAGCAGCTTTTCCGGAAAAACTTGCCAGCTGTCTACACTGGCCGCTTGAATTTCCGGAAAAGCACTGACGATCTCATGTAAAATCATCAATGCTTTTCCGGAAATACTATGCTGCTCCCGTTTGGGCAAAAGTCTTTTTCCGAAAGACTTTTGTGCAAAAGGGCCAGTGTAGACAGCATAGTACTGTTTTCCGCAAAAAAGCCCCGATCACGAAAAGGGCGATCGGGGCTTTTTTGCGGAAAAGCGTGTCTAGATTGGCAATGGACGCTTTTCTGCAAAAAGTGCTTTTGTGGAAAAGCATCCTGCCAATCTAGACACGCTTTTCCGAAAATGCTTTTAATGGAAAACTTTTCTGTTAAAAGCATTTTCGGAAAATCATGCCAGTGTAGACGTAGCCTGAGGCTGTGTCTACACTGGCATGAATTTCCGGAAATGCTTAAAATGGAATACTATTCCGTTTTCAGTTTTTCCGGAAAAGGAGCGTCTACATTGGCAGGCTGCTTTCCTGGAAAAGCCCTTTTTCCGGAGAAGCGTCTGTGACCAATGTAGACGCGCTTTTCCGGAAAAGACTTCTGGGCTGTCTACACTGGCCCTTTTCCAGAACAGTGTTCTGGAATAAGGACTTATGCCCGAGCGGGAGCAGAATAGTTTTTCCGGAATAGCGGCTGATTTTGTACAGTAGAGCATCATTGCTTTTCTGGAAATTCAAGGGCCAGTGTAAACAGCGGCTGATTTCCCGGAATAAGTGGCCCAGTGTAGACACAGCCAGCGTATTTAACTTCAACTGAAGGTTGAAAGAAGGCTTGCATTTGGAAAGAGCGCAGGATCTGTCCTGAAGCAATATCAAATTTATGCTATTTTATAGGTTAGTTATTAAAAACAAACAACAAACTATCCAAAACAAAACCAAAGCCCCAACCCCCAGATTATCAGAATGATACATTTATGACCCACAGTGCTATGTGCATTAATATTCATTCTGCCTGTGTTACCTTCAGGGCTGGTTTAGACAGGCTGACAGCCTGCAAGTATGAGGGGCCCTGGCTTGGTGTGAGTACATGTTTGGGGGTGTGCGTGTGCACATCAGGGTGGGGACGGAGTGGTGTCCTCCCAGGGACAGCTTGCAATGTTAATGTGATGTTTACTGTGTACGTCTCACTGCTACATGGTGTGGAGTTCCAGCTGCTGTGAGCTGACAGAGCTCTGTGGTAAAAATAGCTTAAGCCATTTGGGAAATCAGGATGTCTTCTCATTTATCAGCCCTGGCTAGCCTGGGGCACACTGAAGGTTTCCCTTCCTCCTTTCTCACTGGCTTCTCTGGCCCCACCTGAAATACATACACAAGCTTTGAATATATTTCTTGGGTTGTCCTTCCAGCCCTCTGTCCCATCAGGTCTGAATATCCCCCTGCATGTGCCACACATGTCAGAGCAGTTGGCCACAAATGGAACAGGGGTACAAACAGCAAAACTTTTGCCTTGCAGCTGCAGGAGCACACAGGAGTGGCTTTGCAAGGCGGCCCAGAAGTGCTTGAACTAGGTCTGTATATTTTATATTTTACTTATTTAGTACAATATAGTTAGACTATGAAGTCTTTCACTGGAAGATGGCAACCCACTTTACAAACGGATTTATTACATTACATTACACAACAAGCCTGCAAGAAAGGCACCATCATACCTACTGTATAGAGGGAGAAATAGATGCACCCAAAGATGATCAGTGGCAAAGTTGGGAACAGAAGTCAGGAGTTCTGACTGTCTACTAGCACAATATGGGACTAATTCTCCTCTCACTTGTGTTACTACTCCAGGAACTCAACTGAAGCAGGTAAGAGAAGAATCTGACCCTATAGGCCAAATTCTCTGTTGGTATAAATGAATGCGACATTTAATTTTCATTCCTTTGAAAAGGACTGTTCTCATATTACCATATGTTAGCCTCAACACTGTATGGACAAACAACTGCACTTCCCTGGATCTGATTGAAGGATGAGGTGCATATTAGTAAATAACAATTTTCAGTTTTTAATTAGTACAGCACATAATGCACAAATATGATGTTCTCATTCCTGGGAAGTAGTGGGAGATATTGTGGATAGAAATCTTGTTAGAGAGAGTTGTAGTTTGTTCTTCGAATGATTTAAGATATTTAAAGAGCAAACCAAATGCCCTCTGTTTGCTTCTATCTACAGATACTGCATTTCTGCCTCCTCAAAAACAATTTCATTGCATTCAAAGAGAGCATGGTGAGCTAAGCTTGTGTTTTTCTGAAAACCATCTCTTTTTGACTGTCCTGATCTGATGAGCCAAAGGTCACTAGCAAACCCATTTTGTTCACCATCACTTCAGTGCATAACAACACTGGTAAAACCTGACAAAGAATCACAGCAAAGAAAATTCATCCTGAAGATGTCTAGGATTATCAGATATTGCTAGTATCAACAAATGAGCGCATCCAAGGTCAGTGACAATCTTGGGGCTTTTTTTTTTGGTGTAATGTATGTTCTTTTGCTATATAAGAGCTAGGTTTTCTTATTATTTCTTAATGTGACATGAGTCTGGTGATCACATCCAGTCCTCTATGGACAGGCATTCACATCACAGACAACTATCACATGGTGTTGGCAATTTCATCATATAAATCAGTGACATCAATGGGTATGGTAACCAATCTAGACTTCCGTCCATAGATATGGGCACTGTACATCAAAAGTGGGGCAATGCTGTTTCTAGGACTCCTTCAACACGGTAATATGCTGTATATTTCTGGGACTGGGAGAGGACATTAAAGATGCTTACTTCATTCAGTGCAAATAAGATCCTGTTGAATTTTTGGGGGTACATCTAAACTGCGTGGCTATTTTGGGATACAAGAGGTATCCTACTAAACTGCGTGGCTATTTTGGGATACAAGAGGTATCTTAACAAGAGGTAAGCCACAGGTATCCCAAAGTAGCTACCCCATGTCTACACAAGCTGCCCGCTATTTCGAATATTTTTCAAAATAATGAGCACGCTATTTCATCATCCCAGTAAGTCTCATTGCACGAGCATTAAGGGATGGCTCGATACAGTGCATTAGTTCAAAATGGATTCAAAATAAGATACACAATTTGCATAGTGCCAATTGCATATCTTATTTTGAGTTTAGGGTGCTGTGTAGCTACACCTTAATGATTAACATGTCAGATTAGTTATTGGTGTTGATACTTCTTTTTTCAGAATAAACTGATGCCAAGTCATTGGTTGGATATTTGGACCAAAAGTTCCCAAATGCTAACTTAATCCTTTAAATCTATTGATCTAAATGGCTAAGCTAGTAAAAATATATATTTGTACATACAAAATATACAGTTACATATCTCATATAGCTCTGTATGCAACTATTCTTTCCCTTGCAGAAACATGTTTTGCTACCCAGTTTTCAATGATAAAATTTCAATGCCTATTTCAGAGGTTCCTGCCTTGCTTTGTTTGTATATTACTATTAGTGGGTAGCTGTATTATTTACTGTCTGCACGGCTCATATTTTCATTCTGACAGACTAATATTTCCCCTATGTGTCTCCATTTGTATTCTCGAGTAGATTTTTTTTATACACAGACTATTTCCTCTGGAGGAAAATAAAGAGGGGAGACATTCCATGATGTAAAAGAGAAAAAATAATGAGTGTGTTATTAAATATATCTGAGATGTGGATGTAGCTAACCACAATATACTCTCTTGGTACGCAAGCTATGCATTTTATGTAACTGCTTTTAGCAGGCTCAGTTACAGCTAAAAGCAGGTGTTTATTCTGAAAAAGGCAGCAATGCTTTTCTGTCATGTTGCATTAAGTCACCTATGACGCATAGTGTTATACTGCACCACGTCATATTGGTGAAAATGGTGAAGAAGCCGAAGCAGAGTAACGTGATGTGACAGACAACATTTAGTAAAAATATTTACTTATTTGACTCAGATACTTGCTATCAGATTGAATCAGAGCATATTGTCCAAAATGAAGCTGGCAGATTGAGGTGAATAGTTAAGTGTCTGTGGTTCACAAGCAACTGTACCTGATGTAAATTTTGAAGTTTCTTGGCATGTACCTGGTATTTATCTTATTATCAGTTACTGTACATCCTCATGTTCTTTCTCTCTTGGTTTAACCCCTTCTGAACTTTTTCTTCCTCTTATTGCTCCAAGAAGGTGAATTGCTTATTCTTCACTACCTTTAGTTAGTTTGACATAACACATAAGTTCCTCACAAGGGATCAAGATCACATTTTGAGTCTGTTTATAAAGACAATTATAGAGCACTATGAAAGGCCTGACTGGCTAATCCTCAAAATCCAGATGTAAGATTTTAACAGTACCCTAGAAGCAATTCTCCATTACAAGTCTACCAAATTCCAAGTTTAAATAAGCACTCTTTATTTTGATGGAATTGCCTTAGGTGCTATTTTACATAAGAGTGAAGCTATTGTGAACTACACAAAAACAAATGCCTGGCAGCTATTTATGTAGACAGAAGGACTATTTTAGGAAATAACAAGTTTATCCTTCAAGGAACCTATATTTTATAATGTAAGAAAGTGTTTTCATGGACTAAAAAAGAAATATTGAAAACTTTTTATTGCTATTGGCATTTTTGGAGCTGTTTCATGCAAATTCTTTTTTGAAAAAATGGAGATCTCTCAAAAACAAGGGACTAAGAGCACTTGCTGGAATCAGGTTTCCCCAAAGCAAGTGCTGTGTAGGCCTCACTGTATAGTTTTGAAAATATACTTAATTTCTGACCTACCAGGCTATTGCTAATCCAGGGAGGGGTATCTCTTTAGCATCAATGGCAGCCTGGGGATAAGGTGTGTGAGTGTGGTGGTGGGCAACTCTGCATCCTCTGGATGGGGTGGGGTGTCAGGAGGAAGAGGCAGAGCAGGGCAGCCAGCCCTCAGCACCATCTGGACTGCAGTGTGCCCCACCTAGCACTCAGAGACCCCCGAGTGCCTGACGTGGTGCTCTGGGACTTCTGCAGTGATTCAAAGGGACCCAGGAGTCTAGCTGATGCCGCTACTACAGTAGCAGTGGTGATGGCCAGGAGCCCTGAGACCCTTTGAATCACCAGAACCTAGGGCAAGTGTCCCCCTTATCCCCCCTTCCCTCAGCAGGCCTGATAAATGAACACAAGTATTAAACTATGTGCTAGTATTAGAATGTGTACTAGTGAAATTTAGGATGAGAGGACATTACTGTATTGTCATCACCTGTGACTTAAGTAAGAGTTTTAACTCAGGTTTTCAGAAGTAAATAGCTTGTGCACTAATACATGGTGCCACCTCACCCACCAAGTTAATCATACAAATAGGAGCAGGGGAAAGTCAAAAGTCACCAGAGAAGTAGATACCACAAGTAAGGGCACTTCATGTTTAATTAAAGAAACAGAGAAGTGTGCTATCCTTACTGTTCTTTGGTAATTGTAAGGCTCATGTTTAAGACTGTTCCATCCAACTACTAGGGTAGACAGGGAGGATAGCATGGTCCTTTACTCTGCAATCTAAGGTTCTGAGCAATGTAACCCTTAAACTTTTTCATTCACGTTCAGATTTTTTCCATCCATATGTGGAATACATTTTTATATGCACAGAGATATGTGCAAATGTGCACCACCAGTAGCAACAAAATCCTAGCCATGAGCACTCTGCTATTCAGCTGGGCAGCGTCTGAATCTCTCCTGAATGGCCACACAAGTGCACAGCTTACAGGGAACAATGGCTCTGACTCAAACTCACAGGATCAGAATGTCGAGTGGCAAACTGTCACTCAGTAAATGGGAAGGAGAAAAGAGAGAGACTAGAAGGTGGAGGGTCGGGTGGAGGGTCGGGGGGAGGGGAGAGGAGGCTAGAAAACACACTACCAAACATTTGAAGACCATGCTGTCTGTAAAAGCTGATGGAGTCCAACAAGGTAGGCCAAACTGTCATGATGTAATGTAATATTTACTAATAATTTCCTTATTTATATTTCATAGTCTTTTGATTTGGCTAATAATGCTTTGTAGATAAATATAATTCTAATGAAAGGAACAAGAACAAATCTTATTTGTTCTTAAGTGAGAGTAGCTTTTGGAAATTTTCACAATTATTTGTATTATGGTCACACCTGGGAGCCCAATTGTGGATCAGAACTCCACTGTGCTAGGCACTGTACAGACAGGGTCCCTGCCTCCAAAAAACTTACAATTAAAGGAAAGTGACTAATGATTTGGGGTACCCAGATTGATAAACCAAAAAAGAAACTGATTTTCAAAGTGTTCAGTACATGGTGAAAACTGGGGGTATCTCAAATTGGGCAAAATTAGAGTCACTCAGATCTTTTAGCACTGTAAGAGACAACTGTATGTTCTCTGGGAAGGATATTAACAACTGAGGAATTAGCCCATTTTGTTTGTTAATAGACAGGAAGGGACTGCTGTTGAGAGCCTTCTCTTACTAGAAACTGTGAATCCTGTACTCACATGGATGTTAGATTTCCATCATACCTGTGATATTTTTAAGGTAGACATATAAGGTTAAATAGAAGTATTGGGCCATTCTCTATGAAAGTTGCTGCAAACTTTTTTGATAGTTTGAAATGTTTGAAACTTTTGGATGTTTATTTCTACCTGAGATGAATGTACTTGAGGCTCTTTGGCCAATACATCAAACTGGAAATCTTACAAAGCTTTTTCTCCTGAGAGATCCAGTATTTTCAGTCAGGTCAGAAATATTGAGAAGAAAGGCTCTTCCTGTGGTATTACCCTATTCCTCCTCCTGATTCTAGCTGAAACCAATAAATGTAGAGGCAGCATGAGAAACTGACACAAATAAATGGGAGTTTACTGAAATGGTTTGGAACTTATAATACTTTTAGGTGCAAATCCAGTTTTGAATGATTGGTTTGGGTCAAATAGGAACTAGCTCTAAATAGTTTGCACATCTATACAGAAGATATACACGGAACTTCTCATTAAGAAGATCTATTTTTGACTGTGGTAGGCTCACACTCATAAAAACATCCTACTGTCTCTAATTCACTTGCATTTATTTTTCAAATAAAGGACATTCTTCATGGTTCCTATGCAACAGCTTCCAGTTGCAATGTAAGTGAAACTGATGAATAATTTATGGTCTGTAAAATAAGGATGTTCTTATTTATTCTCATAGGGTGAATATGGCATAAGCACCCTTGTCTTCAGCAGATTGGACATGGTGCGGTGAAGAGGACAAGGAGGAAAAGCATCTCTATTACAGATGAGAGGAGGACTTAAGTATGGAAAAGGGGGGAAGAGAATTGCCTTTTGGATCAATAGTGTTAATATCCCTTTCCCTTTCCTGTCTGACTCCATTCATTCATTAAGCATTTCTTATCTGCACAGATTGGGTTTTTTCACTTCATCTCCAAGAGTGGGACTTGTGAAGGTTGTTCTGGTCTACACTATGGGGAAAACTCAACGTAACCCTCGCAATTTGAGTTACACTACTAGTGTAACTCAAGTTGATATAGTTTGATCTGCTTATTGCAGGGTCCACACCATACTACGTGATAAGATGGACTCCCCTTTCTTGTTTCATTCCAGTGGAGTACTAGAGTCTATGGGAGAGTGCTTGGTGGTCAAGTTAGTGGGTCTTCACTAGGCTCTTGAAACAAACCCATATCCAACTCATTTTGTATGAAATCAGTCATTAGAATAATAGAATACTAGGACTGGAAAGGACCTTGAGAGGTCATTGAGTCCAGTCCCCTGCTTTCATGGCAGGACCCAGGACTGTCTAGACCATCCCTGAAAGACATTTATCTAACCTATTCTTAAATATCTCCAGAGATGGAGATTCCACAACCTCCCTAGGCAATTTTTTCCAGTGTTTAACCACCTTGACAGTTAGGAACTTTTTCCTAAATGTCCGTTGCTGCAGTTTAAGCCATTGCTTCTTGTTCTATCCTCAGAGGCCAGGAAGAACAAGTTTTCTCCCTCCTCCTTGTGACATCTAAAAGGGTGAAAACCACTGTCATGTTCCCCCTCAATCTTCTCTTTTCCAAACTAAATAAGCCCAATTCTTTCAGTCTTCCTTCATAGGTCATGTTCTCTAGACCGTTAATTATTCTTGTTGCTCTTCTCTGAATCTTCCCCAATTTCTTCACATCTTTCTTGAAATGTGGTGCCCAGAACTGGATACAATACTCCAACTGAGGCCTAATCAGCGCAGAGTACAGTGGAAGAATGACTTCTCGTGTCTTGCTTGCAACACTCCTGTTAATGCATCCTAGAATCAGGTTTGCTTGTTTTGAAACAGCATCAGACTGTTGACTCATATTTAGCTTGTGGTCCACTGTAACCCCTAGATCTCTTTCTGCTGTACTTCTTCCTAGACAGTTGCTTCCCATTCTGTATGTGTGAAACTAATAGTTCCTTCCTAAGTGGAGCACTTTGCATTTGTCCTTATTAAACTTCATCCTGTTTACCTCAGACCATTTCTCCAATTTGTCCAGATCATTTTGAATTATGACCCTATCCTTCAAAGCAGTTGCAACCCCTTCTCGCTTGGTATAATCTGCAAACTTAATAAGAGTATTCTCTATGCTGATATCTAAATTGTTGATGAAGATATTGAACAGATCCAGTCCCAAAACAGACCCCTGCAGAACCCCACTTATTATACCTTTCCAGCAGGATTGTGAACTACTCGTTAATGACTACCGTTAATGACTACTCTGAGAATGGTTATCCAGCCAGTTATGCACCCACCTTACAGTAGCCCCATCTAAGTTGTATTTGCCTCATTTATTGATAAGAATATCATGAGACCGTATCAAATGCCTTACTAATGTCTGGGTATAGCACATCCACCACTTCTTCCTTATCCACAAGACTAGTTATCCTATCAAAAATGGTATCCTATTACCACTTTTCCCTTCCTGTATCATTCCCTCTTCCAACAGAACTCTGACACCTTCGTTACTTTGTTATCTCCAGAAGGTACTGTGATGGCCAGGTGGTGTGCATCATAGCCCCAAGAGGTCTCCCTGGGGCCTATTAGGGGCGGGGGGGAGCAGATCAGTGCAAATAGTAGAGTTCTGCTTCAACTTGATTCAGCTGATGCTTTACATGACAGCTAAGGCCTCACCCCTGCTCCAAAGAGCATAGAGAAAACTTTTTTGAGAGCACTTCAGTGTCTTAAGGAGCTTATGTTTTATGTCTCATAAGTGTCTAAGTCACTTCCGAAAATGACTTTGGTGCTTTACAAAATGTTACCTTACAGCCTAAACTGACAAGTCTCAGGGGGCAGCCACGTTTGTCTGCATATACAAGAACAGTGACACCTTCAAGACTAACAGATTTATTTGGGTATAAGCAAAACCCAAAAAAGGTAAAAACACTTTTTTCAGATGAATGCACTTGAAATACAACATAAGAAAACATTGGAGAAGACAATAAAAACAGAAAGGGGGACAGATTAAAGGAATCCCCAGAATAAAGTTATTGGCTTTTTTGGGGTGGTACACAACACAAAATTAATTCCCAGAAATTTGTCTTAACTACTTAAAAGGTCTGATCCTTATGCCTGGGTAAGAATGTGCTTTCTATAGAAACCCCCTTCTACCCTCACTACCTTCTTATTCACCTAGACAAAACTAGCCACAATTTGCTCCTTAACTGAGTGCTTAGGGAGGTGTCAAAATGCACTTGGAAATAAAACAACAACCCCAGTAATCTTCAGGTACACCAGTCACTTCAATTGCCTTTGTGAAAAATATTTCTGCTTATCTGTGTGTGCCGTTATTATTGTGCACCTTGCAGCTCGCTTTGAAAACTTAGCTCCACATGTGCCAAATGAAAATTGGAGTGAAAAGATTCCCATTCTCTTCTCATTTACTCGATGAAAAATAATGAAAAGAAATTAAATAATTAACCTTGACTGTTGTTGAGCAATTGCTAAGCAGTATATTTAATCATTTTTGGTTGCTTTTTCTGCTATTTTAGGAACAAAGCGGGGACAATTGAAGCATATTCGTCTCAAGCAACATAGCACTTCTGTGGAGAGACCTAAAGGAAATGCATTGTTTTGATTAGAATGTGTTTTCATTAACAGGATGTTCAAAATAAACAAAAATACTTGATTCGCAGGGCCTGTGGCTGTCTCAGGTTAACGCTGGCATGCTTCCACGCTTGAGCTCATCTTCACTAATCAATCAGAAACATGTTTGCTGGCAAGAAAGGTCACATCTTTAATCACACAACAGCAACTTTTTTACAACAAACAGGGTATCTGCATACAGCTAAATTTGGCCTAACAGTTACAGAGGTTTAATGCTCAGCATTCGATAGATAGATCTGCAGTGTCTCCCATAATTCTGCCCATTTATACCACGTACTGTAAGCCTGAGCAGAATTTGTCTCATTCAGTTAATTTATAGCTTCAGAGGTGTAGCTGAGTTAGTCAGTAAAGGATAAATTTAAACAACAAATAGTCTGGTAGCTCTTTAGAGACAAACAAAACATGTACATGGTATCATGAGATTTCGTGGGCACATCCCTCTTCTTCAGATGACCGGAGTGTTGGATGTCCAGAAATTATAGATCTTGTCATTATGCCATCCATAAACACTTACATCTTGGATTAAAATCAAGATAATTAAATAAAGACAAAGTTCAATGTATAGGTGGACACTGGCCTGGTCTTTTTGGTTTGGGACAAAAGGGTTATTGTCCATATTGAAGCAACACCTCCAAATAGCATCATGCTACTGGAGGAGTTATCCTTCCAAGAATATATAAAAAATATTTCTCAATTTCTTTGGTCACCGGGGATTCTATGACAAAAGCAGTTAGCTCCAGTCTCCTAAGTTACATCTCAGGACATTGTCGTTACTATTTTCATTAAGAGATTCCAAGGTCAAAGGGGACCACTATGATCCTTCTTCAGGACTTCTGTATAATGAAGCCCATAGAACACCCCCAAAGTAATTTAAAAAATAGCTAATCTTTATTTAAAAGTTGCTAGTAATGGAAAATCCACCACAATCATTGGTAAATTACTACAATGGTTATTTATCTTCTCTCAAAAATGTATGCTTTGTTTCCAGTCTGAATTTGTCTAGTTTCAGTTTCCAGTCACTCCACTCCAGCTGGATTGAAAAGCCCATTATCAAATTTAAAAGTTCATTGTAGTTGTTATCTCTGTATTCCTAAAAAAATCCTCTGAAGGCCATTTCTGCACATAATGGTTGTGTATTTTGTCAGTGGGTGAAGAATAGTTCAAGTTTTCCAGGCTGAACTCCATGATCCATTCATGGTCTCTCTCTTTAATTTTTTCTGGCTCTAATCTTTACTGCAAATAAGGAAGTGAGGTGCAAGCAAGTAATGGGCTATAGAACTGATTCTGAAGGTATGCTATGGGAGGGTATAACAGGGTCCACTTCTGTGGCCAAGGGGTATCCAGTAATTCTTTGCCTGGCTGTCTGGTACTTCCTTGCTCCCTGGGTCACTTCCACCAGATGTTGCCTTGTCTGGTCATCTTCAAGGTTCTGATGCTAAGATCTTACTAGCCCTGACCACGGTACTATCAGTTCTTGTATTCAGCTTGTGGTCAGCCTTGGGTCACTGGACTTGGGCCTCACCTAGGTCTAAAGTTCAGCATGCGCTTGGAGCTGTCCATAGTGCTGATAGTCTGTCAGTCAGTATATAGAACTGCCTAGGTTGAGCTCATGTGAGGAACCGCCAGGCTCTAGCCCCACAGTTTCTTTTATACCAGTCTGCTGGACCCTGATTGGCTACCACAGAGATAACCACTCTATCCTGCCTGGAGGACCTCTCTTCTGCTCCTCTCACTGGCATAGGGTTTGTCAAGGCCTTCTGATTCTTGTAGGGCATTGGGGCTTAGTCCACTCCATCACAGAAAGGAAAACATCTGTGTTTCCTGAAGTGGGCACTATCACAGTGTAAGGCCTGCTGAAAGAGGGGGCAAAGGGAGCACCTGCTCCGGGGTCTGAAATTCTAAAGGGCCCAGTGCTCTTCTCTGCCACTGATGCTACTGTGACAGTGGCAATGCACAGAGCCCTGGGCCCTTTAAATCACCACTAGAGTGCCATGCAATGTGCTCTGGTTGACTTTAAGGGCTGGGGCGTGGGTGGGGGGAGCAGTGTGGTGCACTCTGGGTGGCATACAGGGCTAGTTGCCTTCTACCCTTCCCGAGGCCTTGCCTATTTTGGGAGCATGGAGCCAATCCTTGCCCCTTTCCCAGGTGTGTTGTGTAGCTGTCAGCTCCCCTAA